CCCCCACTACCTGCGCCAGCGTGAAGAGCGTGTACACCACCTCCTCCTCGCACACCACATCCCCCCGCCGCCACTCCCCGGTCAGTGTGGCGATGTGGTACAGCCGGGCCTCCAGGTCCACCGTCGCCTCCAGGAGGGGCCCCCGGTAGCGGGCGACCACAGAGCGCTCCTCGTCCTGCGCGGCCATCACCTGCCGCTCCCTTTCCACCTGGGGGGGGGGGCAGGAAGAGTGGCGGGACGGGGGGGAGGGAACCAGGGTATTGGGGGGAAAGGGAGGGGGGGAGGATCCGGAGACCGTTATATTTCATGTCGCCGGTACGGGAGCGAAGGCGGTCCCGCAGCGGTGCCGCAGCGGAGGGCCAGGACCGGGCGGGGCGGGGAGGGGGCTCGGGTGCGGGCACCAGGAGAGCCGTGAAGAGCGGCACAGCACACCGCACACCGCACACCGCACGGTGTTGGCAACAACGGGCGGGGTCATTGGTGGGGCAGGAGGAGTGGCGAGGGGAGGGGAGGTGGAGGAGGCTGCCGGGGGGCCGCCGGCTTTAGAGGGGGGTTAGAGGTGCGGGTAGAGAAGGCGGAAGTCAAGACGGGCACAGCGGGCGTCCCCGGCGTCCGCCGCCTCCGTCCAGTTGGGACGTGTGATGTGATGTGATGGCGGGGGGCCCGAGCGAACTGCTACGGATACACACAGGGGTTTGCATCACATCACTGTAGAGGAGGTGAAGACGGAGGTAGTGGAGGTGGAATGTGGGGCAGCAGGCGCAGCTCAACTGCTTATCGAGGGTACGGAAGAAGCAACAAATGTACGGCACAAAAACTCAGCTGCAAACCTCCTCCGGCCTCTATCCGTTTCCCCACCTCTCTGGCTAGCTCCGCTCGGCGCTTCTCCGTCAGCAGTCCGCCGTACAGGTTGATGCTGACGGAGGTGATGGCGATGATGGCGGAGAAGACGGTGGCGAACTCAGGGGCCATGAGGTTGGACACGCCCGAGAACCCCTCCAACACGCCCGCACGACACACCACGCGGGGGCCGCGGCTGTGGCTGCCACCGCCGCCACCATTGCCGCCCAGGCGCAGGCTTCCAGGCCCGCAGCTCAAACAGCCACCGCCGCCGCCGCTGCAGCGAAACTGGAAGCGGCTGTAGCCAGGCAGGGAGGTGTACGGCTGTAGCACCGCGCAAGGCCGGCTAACCCGATGCGGGTGATTGCGCGAGGGGCCGCGGGGGGAGCTGCCCAGGGGGGGCGGCTGCCGCGGTGAGCAGCTGCCTGGGGCTACGTGCGTTGTGGCCCAAGGTGGTACCGCAGGGGGAGCCGAGTGGGGGGACCCGGCGCTTTGCCGGAGTTGGGCGTTACGCCGCACCGGCGCAGCCGCCAGGATGCGGCCTGAGGAGTGGGTTGATCTCGCGGGGAAGGAGCCGATGGTGATGACGCCGACAGTTTGCAGGTGGCTGCTGCAGCAGCACCCCGCGCCTTTTACGCCGCCGCATATTGTCATAGCTCCCCGCTTCGCTACTGCTGTTGATCTAGAGGCGCAGCCTTGGTGCGGGAAGGTCTTTGCTGCGGGTGTTGCAGTGCCTACTGTCACGCTGAAGGGCCAACCGCGCTCGGCGCGTGCAGCGGCGGCAATGCTCGGCGGCCTGAAGCTGACCAGTCCAAAACTATTATTAGGGGTGGCGTTTCGCATAGGATATGCCGGGATCGTTTATTGGGGCCGGGCCGGGGATGGTTGCAGCCCGGCCCAGCTGCCCCAAAAAGAATGCCAGCAAGTGTTCGGCACCACACTGATTTGAAATCTCCTTATGAGGCTTGGCGTCAGCAAGGTGTTGTCGGGGTGGCCTACAACTGATGAAACGCTAATACTCAAACGTAGCACTTGACAAGTGGATTTCCTAAGGGAAATGGGAAGAAACTTTTAAAGGTTTGAAAATGATTGTGAGCTTTGTATAACCTGGAACCTAAACGTAAGGGTTTCTACGGTGCCAGGGTCCCCCCTGTTTCAAGCATTATGGTACGAGACCGAAGATCATGTACCAAGCTCGCTTTGCAAACAAATAGCTGCATCAACTTGGCAGCTGGCTGTTTTGAAATTTATTCAGATCAGGGTCCAAGTTTCAGGACGACCTGCCCCTGGCGATCCGCGCCAACGGCCACACGACGGCAACGAGAAGTCACTCGCGGCCACTAGCTTAAAATAGTCCTGCTACAAGGCGTAGATAGCACTTCATTTAACTTTTTGACCTCGACGTGGTAAAGCGCGCTAACCGCCATTGGTGCCCTTGCTACTATGGTCGTTAGGCCGTTGGCAGTCGGAGCTAGCTACGGCTGAGCAATTCATCTGCTTGCCATATAAGCAGCTTTGCATCAGATTCAGCAATGAGGTCAATCACTCTCAACTGCAGAGGCGTCCGGAGTTCTATGTGCCTGGCATTGAATGGCCTTGCGGTGCATTACCAGAACGAGCCACATGGCTTAGCTTCATAGGTTTTATTTTGCAATACGTTTATAGCGAAACTCATTACCTGTACGGCCGCACCACACGGCGCACACATTCCCACCTCTTTTCCTGTAGGAGACGATAACCATTGAACCCCCTTAACTGTTCCAATGTATCCCCACACGCATATTGCACACCGGCCGGAAGAAGCAGGTGATGGCCTCCCTCGCGCGGGAAATGAAAAAGTAAAACCCGGGGTCCGTTAGTCCAACCTCTCCAGAACCCGCACGCAAGATCTCACCCTTTTCGATAACCGTCCGGTGGCCGCACCACCTCTTCCCTCGCCACGGGTAAAGGCAACGGCAACGGCAGGGTTTATTCTGGAGCCAAATTGATCAACACGGTATGAGCTTGGTACTTGATATGCACTTGATATGCACTTGACATGCCCTGTGCGCTCACTGCCGCACGACTGACGCCCCGCCACGCCGCCCAGAAGACAGACGACAAGATACGCCCACCCACATATATGTATGTATGTATGTATGTATGTATGTATGTATGTATGTATGTATGTATGTATGTATGTATGTATGTATGTATGTATGTATGTATGTATGTATATAGAAAACATGAGGCGAATGCATGGAGCCAATCCACTGGTGCAGGGAGAAGCTCGATAGTGGACACGCAGGGCCATAACAGCCGTTATCAAAGCACGTGCACGTGCACAGCAGCACAACCGACATCATACGAAGGCTTTCCCAAGAGCCTCAGCTCTCAACGGCGACGAAAGGGCCGGCAGCTACCTGCACGGTGCTCCTTCCCGTGTTCCCGCTCTGTCCCTGTGCACCAATATATACAGTGTACCAATCAGCACACAACGGCACCGGGCTGTGGAAAACAATACAACAATTGAGTCTTTAACCGAGTCTTTAACCCCACGCAGCAGCAGCAGCAGCAGCTATGGCAGCGAGGCTAAGCACTACCAGTCGCATTCGCTCTAGCTATCAGCAGTCACGACGTGTCTATCAGCCGAAGCCCTTGGCGAAGATGCTTATCCACATACGGCTGAGACACGTATCTCCAGGTTCATTGCACGAAGCGACTAAAAGCCAGCGCAAAACGCGGGCCCATTGCTGGAAGAGACGTTCAGCCATCTTACACTCGAGAAGCATGAGAACGGACAGGGAGTCCTAAGACCCCGCGCAACTCGCACTTCGCAAGAGCAGATGATGCCGGGGGAGTTGGGCAGAGCCCCGCTTCCCGATAAGGGCGGTTAAGTCCACTCCAGGGAGCGGTTGATGTCCCAAACAAGCTCCGGTTTGGAGATTGTTGGTAAGCTACGGGTACCCACACGGACCGGACACGAAAGAGTTGAGGATCTAACGCTGTTAGTATGAACATGCGCATGACCTTATTATAAGAACAATCTGATAATTGGCAAAAACAAAAACCCTAAGTGCTTGCCACGTACATTGCTTGCACCGTCACATTGCCCGACCCCGCTGTCACGGGGAACCCCCGCCTCTGCTGCTCCAAGGCCACAGCGCCCTGACGCCGCGTCTGGATTCCAGCCGTTGACTGAACTGGTTTGTTATTGTGCGTGGTGGCAGTATACATCACGAAACCGGCAAGCACAAACCGGCGCAGCGACGAAAAGTCGTAAAATGATTCGACCGAGATAAAAAGATGCGCCAGCAGGCAATTATGCAGCACGGATTAGCAAGATGCTAAAGCCCAGTGCTTGATCCAGGATCCAGGAGACCAGGCAAAAGATCCAGGACGTCTGACTCATTAAAAAGAACCTGCAGCGCACTCATTTTGGCACTTACTACCCCATGCGTGATGCGCACAGCGGCCCCCCGAGCGATACGCCCTAAACAGGGAGGTTAGCGCCCTGGCCCTCTAGGGTTGTTGCTTGGGTGTGCGAGATGGGCCCCCTCGCACCCATGACCTGACCTGATGACCCACAGCATGCAGCGCATCGTCCCCCGCCTCGCAGCAATATCTGGGATACAACAGGGATGAAGACAGCTTCTACATACATGGCCAGCGATGATGCGGGTATACAAGGCAGGCTGGCTACCGCTTCAGTTTCACGAACCTAAACAGCAATGCCCTCCGGGACCCCGGGACCGCCGCGAGGAGTGAACAGCGCCTGCCGCCTTTCCTGCTTGCCTTCTGCGACTCCCCAATGCCAAGCGGACGCAACGGGGCGTCCTCGCACATAAGGCACTTGCTTGAATATGGTCCGCTCCTAAAGCCATGCATAGCAAAAGATGAAAAGGTACCCAGATGCTGTGTCTACCCGATGAATGTTATTCCTTTCTGCTGCACCAGCAGAAAGATGACCTGCAGAGTGGGCACAGAGCAACATCCTCGAGCCTTTGGAAAGAGACGAAGGTTAAAGCGGACAGCAGGCTTCGAACAGCCCTTCCCTGGCCACTCCGCCAACCCGTTTCACCGTTGCTAAGGGAAGCCTAAGACGCAGCTAATACACCTGTATATATATATAGAGAGGAAGCCCTGCCCTACCATCCAGAGATCGTAACCTATGCTTCAAGACTGAACACCTGCTCGTTGCCGCCGGTAGGCGGGTAGGAACCGGTCTGGGGTAGCTCGCCGCACCTCTCCTGCTCATGATGCTGCTCCTCTTGCCTTTCTGGCCGCCGTCATCGCCGTACTTTCAATGGCAAACTGCATCACGACTGGCCAAACTAAGAAGAATACCTCCAGATTAAGCCGCCAAATAACAACCAACCAACTTAAACGAGCACAACTGCCGGCGCGGACGACCCTTCCAACCACCCACGATATCCACGGCACCTGCAATACGGCACTGCCCAAACCGCCTATCCAATAGAACACAATGCAGGTGGCGTTGGGCAGGAAGCTCGGGTGCGAAGGAAGCCGCGCGCACCGTCTGATTATTTTCTCTAGGCGAGGAAAGCTCACACAGGAAACCTACTACTCGCAAGCGCACCCTTGTTGCGAGCCCCTAAGCTTCAATGCAGCCAAGGCGGCACACATCCTACTGGCTCACCCCCACACCAATCCTAAATGAGCATGGCGTGCTACTTCTGGAATGTACGAATCCTTGCTGCGGAGCCGAGGTTCCGGAACGCGAGGAGGGCAGGTGCCCCCAGGGTAGAGGACAATGTGATGCGCATGTGCGGCTGCATCCTTCCCGGCCCACTAAAAGAAGCACAGACACATTAAAAAAACCCTCTCATTCATCCTTCATACACTAACCTGGGTGACACCTCCTCACTTCGTTATCCCTGTAACCATCCTGAACCCCCGCACATCCCCATTCGACCAATCATCCCTACTGTGACATCTTTCATATTGTGCCCCACCCGACCTGTAGCGCTGTCACCAGCACGTCTCTTGTTGGGTAAGTGCCGAGCCCCATGGCCGCACGCGGCCGCTGTGTCGTTGTCCTCTTCCATAGTCCTGCTTCCATAGTCCGCGGACTGGCACCCGTCACTGAACCGCAGCCTGAATTCCTCCCTGTATTGAGATTGGTATCCTTCATCATCCGCTTCACTAACTGCTGCTACCCATGTCGGCAGGTCAGTGCCGGTCCCCCCCGGACAGGACAATGTCCACCTTGTGATGAGGCAAGACAAGTAACCGGGCAGCAGTGCAGTGCGGCTCGACAGACCAAATACACCGCACGTGTCGTGGGACCGCAGATAACTGGCGTGACGGCGAGGCGCAATCATGGATTGGTCTTTCGCGCCGCAACGGCATAAGGAGTGCACACTCGCACGCACACGTAAGAGGCCAAGCTCCTTCTCGCAACCCCTGCCCGTTCAACCACCTACCCCCAGTGCAACCCGCCGCGTGGAGGCACCCTTCACTGCCTTCCCCTATCAAGTGTGCACACGGACAACCCTACTCAAACATGTGTGCGCGAATGATGTTTACACACGAACGCAAGCTGAGCGCCACGCCTCCTCCTCCTCCTCCTCCAGCATTAGCAGATGTCGGCATCGCGCACGCGCCAACACAACGACAACAACGGCAACAGCGGCTTTCTCCGCGATCGCGACGCGTTAACTCGCGTCTAGGTGCCACCGACCGCCGAGGGGCACCCGCTCACAGCCACTCCCCACAGGGTGACGACCACAGCCTAACGAGGTGAGCCTGACGAGCCACAGCACCCACTACTCGCCCTCGACCAATCCGTCTAAAGCATATTCGCCGTAAAAACACAAGCCGCCCCGGTTTATTCATACACGGCCGCCAGACCATCAACAACTACCTTGATGCAGGTCCCCCTGCGCAGCCTGGTCAGGGCGGGAAAGGTCCCGCAAA